GCAAATATACATGATTCATATAGCTGAGTTCAACTAGGTTGGAAATTGTAGCATAGTTGAATGATTGATTTAGAAGTTCCCTCTTACTCTAGGTTGCTAATTGATTGCATTTCAAATGCAATGACAGTTGTTCCAATTCTAGCCTATTGCTTCTTTTGAGGTTCACACTTTACTGGACAGTTCGATTTAATTAGATCACTGGAAAAAGCTCTTCTTTTTTCTATAGGCAAAGATGATATGCCTGACCAATCCATTTAAGGCTGCAGTTTGTACCATGGGTTGGTTAACTGATAGAAGTCACCTCTGGGAGTTTCTTGAGCCGCTGCCTGTTCAAGTTCATTGATAACTTACAGTCAGATTAAGCTGAAAGTGGATGTGCTGGATTGAAATTCAGCACGGTGAAACAGGTTGAGTTAAACAAAAAGATGAGTTATAGTCCAGCCCCTTGAAGTCTATGTGTGGATTAAAGGTTGGGTTTCAAATATATAAAATAATAAGTGGTGACAACTTGCCCAACTCAACCCATTGTGGGGTTGCACAAATTGCTCTCATAAAACTACAATTTACTAATTATGTGTCTTGATAAACTTTTGTTCGTTTTCAATGCTACAGAATTTTGCAACTAATTGTTAAACTTTAAACATTGTGATGTTGGTTTCATCCTCTGAATATTTATGTCTATTAAAAGTGGTCTATTAAAAGGAACAGTGAGCTGTTTGCAACTCCTTCTTCAACCAAAATAGACAAAGAGTTCAGTTTTCTGTGAAAACTAGCTTAGTACTTTTTTGAACTAGGATGAAAAAGGAGCTCTCATATCTCAAAAGATAAATGAATTGAAAAAAGTACCTACATGGTAGATGTAACCTGTCAGGTTGCCGATTTTTAGCTCATTGTAATACAATATTCTGACAGGCCATGTGTGTTAATTCATAGTTTAACAGTATCGATGTCAAATGGGTGGGTTGGGCTGGATTTGGGCGGGTCAAAATGGGTTGGGGTAAAAAATTGCTCAAAAGTTACTTGGGATGAAACTGGTTGTGCTAAAATAGGTTGGGTCATGACCCACACAACTTGACACAATCTTCTTAACTGATTCCTTTCTGCTAAAAGTGGAGATAGTTTCCATTCACTATGGTTACATCATATATACATCCAAAGACAGCAAATGTTCGATTCGGAAAAGTCACTGCACATTCCAAAAACAAACTCAGTACTTGAATTTATATTCTATGGTCATTGCAGTTCTTGTGGTTCCCCGCATTCTAACTGGACTTGGAGAGTGTTCTCTTAATAAGTTAGGAAACAAGAATTATCTTGATTTATTACCTTCTCAAAATAAGAAGAATTATCTGGAATTTAGACAACCATATATAGAATTGATAGTTGTATGGAGGCTCTTTTTTGTCTACTTGGTTGCTTTCTGATGAGTCAAATTTACGTAGATGTTAGACAATTATATTCAGAGTTGATAGCAACCAAATGGACAAAAAAGAGCCTCCATACAGCTATCAACTCTATCTTCTTTCGAGGTGATACCTGTATGAAGGTACTCTTTTTTGTTCATTTGGTTGCTATACACTTCTATAAAAATAGTTATTGTTGTTTAATTCAGTTTACTAATGACTAAAAAGCTTGGGTAGTAAGAAATTAAACTTGTTACATAACTCTTAGTTATTTGCACCTTCGTTGGACCGGTAATTATATTTGTAAAAAATTATTAACAATTGACATTATTGTTTGTTAGTGTCAAATATTGACATTATTATTTGTCATTTCATCTGTATCCATTTAAACCATCAGAGACTTACGTACAAAGAATCATGGAATTAACCTGGTTTTTTACATGAATTACTGAATCGTTCTTCTATTTCTGTTCATGCAGTTGATGATTCTTCGTCGAGTGGGATGCTTTTGTTTCCTAAGAGAACCTACCAACCCAGCAACATGAGGCGCAAAAGGACACATGGTTACTTTGCTCGGTATGCATCTCTTCCTTGCTCTTTTAGCCACTGGACTAATGGGACACATTCTCATGAGAGTAGCATTATGCACCGAGTTGTTGAAAAAATATGTACTAGACCACTTTTGTTTCTCTCCCTGTTTCTGGAAACTGTAGGATTACGACATATAATACATTCCCCAGAGTTGTATGTAAGTTATTTTAGAACAATTCCAACTAGAGGTAAGTGTACTGTACATGAAAGAGGAGATGGAGTCGAGAATATCCCATGTAATGCTAGGCTTAATACGTAGCCCAGGATTCTGGTGGGCTCTCATCCTGGCAATGAAAATTAGGCTTTCGTTTGCCTCCCAGGTTACCTGATCAGCGCAGTCATTTATTTGTCCAGCTAGTTTCATTTTTCTCGGTTCACTTGCTTTTACTGGAGACTTTTTGTCTGGATTGCTTATGTTATTTGTTGAGTTCTGACAAGCGCATATTTTAATTATTGAGCAGCAAAGCAACTAAGGGTGGCCGTAGAGTTATTGCTCGACGTATTGCAAAGGGTCGATCAAGAATAACAGCATAACAACATTTTTTGTTGCATGGTTTACAAGGTGTACGGAGCAAGGCTAGAAGGCTGGTTTAGGGCATTTCATGGACAGTTAAATAGGTTATGTTGCGACTATTGAAAACAATGGGATGATGAGGTGATGTTTTGGTGATCCTCAAACTGGATTTTTGTACTTAGGCTCCTACTTCCCAGCTTTGTCCCCAACTCTTCTTAATATTTTTCCAAGCTGGTTTTATTTCCCTTAAAGATATGTTTGGATCTGTAATAAGGAATTCTTCTTTACTGTACCTAAGGGTCCTTGAGATTGACGTATGAACAAAATCTACTTATTGAAGTTGTAATCTTGGCAATGTTTTTTATTGAAGTTGAGGCCTTGGCAAGAACAAACATTGGACATTCTTTACTAAAAATTTTACCTTGACAAGATAAAACATTGTTTGAAGTTTATCCTGATTTGTCAAGGTCAATTTAAGACATTTTTTTATTGAAGTTAAGGTCATGACTAGAGCTGTCAATATGGGCTAGCTCATCCATCCGGGCTATCCATATAGGCTTTGAAATTTGTCGGGATAGCCCATTTTTTGTGTGGGCGAGAAAATGGTTGGCCCAGCCCACAAGTACGTGGGCTACGGGATTGTCGGGCCAGCCCTTTTTTCGTAAAAGTATATTTTTTATAATTTTTTTAATTAAATTATAATTTAAAAATATTATTATAAATATCGACAAGATAATATTACATGGTGTTAGTGTTACTGCTTGTTAATCGAATCCACACATAAAATTATCTTTATAATATTTATTAAGTTTGATTTCAAGTAAAAAGCATAAATAGCTAAATAAAAGTATTAACCTAATTATTTTCCAATGATCATAATAAAACACAAAAAACTATGACAATATTCCATAGGCTACAGCCTATGTAGTGATTCCTAGAAATTTTAGGGAATTTTTATTTTATGTAATACATATTTTATAAACATAATTTGTATTTAAATTGTAATATTTCAAACTTTAAACTGATTTTGAGTTTAGACACTTGTTATTTTTAATATTTTATTTTATTTTTTAATTATTTTTATTTGGCTCATGGGTCAGCCCTACCCATATTTTTCAAGCCCCACAAATCGGCAGTCTTATTTAAGCTGGTCTAAAAAGCTTTTTTCTTAAATGGGCTCCAAAAATCGTAGCCCAACCCTATCAAATGACGGATTAGGCCAGGCCGGCCCAACGGGCCTAGCCTATATTGACTGCTCTAGCCATGACAAGATCCACTTCTTCAAAACATTATACTTTAATTGTTATAAATTCTAAAAATATCAATAATTAAGAAGAAAAAGGAGGAAGAGAATAACTTTCTTTGATTACTTGTATTTTGGGTTCTAATTTAACTTTTGACTATGGCTATAAATTAAAAGGAAAATTGTATGAAATAGTAAATTATTAATTCAAATTAAATGTTATAGTCATAGTTTATTTTAATTGTAATTCGCAGCAAACATCTCCTTTTTTTCCATCTGATTTGATATACAATTAGCCATTTTCGATATACAATTAGCCATTTATACATTTCGGTATAAAATGTGTTTGTATTTGTATAAAGCGAGAGAAAAATGTATATATAAATATAAATACATATATTTTCGTCCTATACACTTATAATTATACAAATACAGATCTTATTATACAAATTACAATGTATAAATGAATTTATACAAAACTGAACAATTTGTATAAAATTAAATGTTTGTAGCGAATTATACAAATCAAAAGTTCCATAGCAAACATAAAATTTGCTATGGAGCACAATTATGCAAACTATAGCTATAACATACTAATATGATTTTTATGTTTGCTATACGTGAAAGTTGTTCTAAATTAAATAGGTATAACCAAATAGGGCGCCTAGTGAATAACAAGGAAGTAAAGTGAATATAAATTCAGGGGGAGGAAACAACTATCTAGTTTAGGGGGTCATCATTATGTTACCTTTTAATTTCTTTTTTGCAACTTTACCTGTTTTGGGAATGATTTCAAATGTGTGCCACTAAAATTGAAAGTTGCGTTCGATTTCAGATAGTTAAAATATGATTTTATAAAATTCAAACATCAGACATTATTGCCTAAAGTTTGATATGACTTGTCAAGACCAACTTCAGACCTTTTTTGAGTGAAGTTGTGAACTTGACAAAATCAAATCTTAGACTTTTTTTTTTTTTTATCTAGCTGAGGCTAACTTCAAACATCTTTTACTAATGTTATAACCTAGACAAAGCCAAACTTCAGTCATTTTTATTGAAATTGTAGCAACCAATATCACTTGTAAATAAAAACCATACTCTTTCATGCACTTGCAACAATCTGGCTAAAACTTCAATCATTCTCTATTGGGCCCTTTGGAAATCCAAGTCGAAACAGGGAGCCTTAGCCCGAGGCCCATGTTTTGTTTTGTATTGCACCGTAGTATATTCATCTCCTGGTTAAAATAAAAATAAAAATTCACATCTCCGGGAGCTGACGTTTATCGGCTTCTCTCCTCTCCTGCAAAACAGTATCTGCAGCCTGATCAGAACCTGCCATGGCAGAATTTAGAGGCAATGAAGCCCCAACATCTACTGCAGGTAAATTTCCTATTCTCTAAGTGTTGCAATTGAAAGGGGTTTCTTAAGGGAATATAAAAAATATTGCAAATTAAGATGCTGAGTGATTTTAATTACAAGGAAAAACAAATTGTACATTTTGCCTAATTCCTCATGTATTCGTGAAATAACTGAACATAATTTCTGTTTTTTTTTTGCTCTGTTAAGATTGTTCCAATTTGAGCGTGTATGTGGACAGTGATTGCTTTAAAAATTCAATCTTGTTTTATGAATGGATACTGAATTTGGTATTTGCGTTGAATATTCACATCCCAATTGTTGTGGTTGTTTGATTTTCTTATATGGTATTGGGTAATCCTTCGCCTTGAAGATTGAGTTAAACTCAAAGGTTTATTTCTTTATTAGCCAAGTTTCATCCCAATCTTGATTTAATGAATGTTGGGACCCTTGTTATATTGTCTATGTTCCAGTTGTGGGGCCTGGGTGTGCGGGGGTGTTGGATATCCCACATTGGTTGGGATGTGGTCCTTTAGTCTCTTTATATGGTGGCAAATTGGCAATCCTTGCCTTGATGCTTGTTTTGGGGATTGAGTTAGACACAAACATTATCTCTTTATCAGGGTAAGGCTCATCCCGATTCTTGATTTGATCAATGTTGGGCCTCAGTATTATATTCTCCACATTTTAGTTGCCAGACTGGGATTACGGGGGTGTTGGATATCCCAGATTTGGGAGGATATGATGCTTTGGTTTAGTTATAAGGTAATCCTCACCTCTTCAACTAGATTTTGAGGTTGAGTTAGGTCAAGTTTCATTTGTCTTTCTTTATCATGATCTATGTTGCTTGGACTCTTCAAAATTGTCAAAAGTGCATGTTGGATTCTCCGAGAGTAGTGTAATTTTTAAGAATCCAACATGGGTGCGGCATTGAAACTAAAGAATCTGCACAATTTAGATCATGGTAATGGTCTGCCCTTTTCTTCTCAGTTTGTTCTTGTATTCTCTAGTCTGCTGGTAATTGATTTATTTATGATGCTAATCTAGCCTAGTCTGTTGTTGTACAAACACAGGACGTTAGATGGTTTATGTGCCTCATTTCCATTTTGATCTCTTTGTAATTTTAGATGTGAAAGATGTAAAAGCACCAAATTTGATTGAGCGCGCAAAGGAAGAGATTGAGGCTATGATTCACCACGATAAAAAACCTCACCATCACAAGGAAACTCATGGAACTAGTGACATTGATGAAAACACCCCAGTTGATGAAGTTAAGGGACCAAATGTATTTGAACGAGTCAAGGAAGAAATTGAGGCAGTTGTACAAAGTATCCACCCTAAGAAATGATCCAACTCTTCTCATGTCATTATTATAACAGTACTGGTTTCCCTGTCTCATTCTGATGTACAATAGCTAATTGCTATATATAAATAGTACTGATTTCTTGGTGTTTACATGGAAGGTGTTGCTATTTGTGACAGCATTTGATGTTTAATGATCTTTTAGAAGGATCCTTGCTGATTTGTTTTGTATAACCATGGTATCCAGGCTACCTTGTGTGCACCTCGACTAATTCCATGTGGTACCACCGTTACCTCCCCTACTAGCATGGGTACTGAGTTACTCTATCTACCTAAACTTGCATAAATGGAAAGAAATCACCAGTAGTATTTTTGCCTCTGTCAGGATTTGAACCTAAAATGTCATTATTCACAACCCATTTCATTGATTACTAAGCCACACCCTCAATGTCATTATTCACAACCCATTTCATCGAACTCAACATTCTGGTACAGTTGAAACATTTCATTTAGTACTAAAAGGTAGTAACTAGTATGTATTCTAGGAATAGTCAAGGAATGTGCTAGCTGACTCAAACATCACTGTCATCTAAAAAGACAGAAAGTAATGGCAATATCTTCCCATGGTGAAGTATATGAGCCTAGTGAAAAGGTCTATTTCTGCCCCCACTGAAGGAGTGTCAGTGTTGAGGATCAGATACTGACAGCCTCTTTTTCCAAGGTAGGGATAAGATCTGCGTACATTCAATCCTCCCTTGACCCCACTTACGGATTACACTGGCTATGTTGTTGTAATGGCAAAGTCAGGACAGGTTAGACAGACCTAACTCGAATCATATTTTCAGCACCTGAAGGAAGTTAAACTGGAAACATTTTATCTGCTAATTCTATATCCCCAAAATGTTCTTGTTTGCCATTGAATTATGAATGCTTATGGAAGTTTCCTAATGTGATTGACTGGAGCAGTAAGGAGATTAAAAAAAAAAAAGTTGGAAATCACTGGCAGGGCGGTGTAAGAGGTTTTCGAATTTTCTTGCTGGGAATAAAATTTGAATAGGTAGGGAAAGAAAAGACTAAAGAGGGAATAAAGGAAAAAGTTTATGTCTAGGTAAAAGTATTCCCATCTGATTAAAAAGGAAAAAACAAAAGCTACAAGGCTTGCTCTAATGATGTGTGAATTGGGGCACACGTCATGAGTTCAAACTCTACGGTAAACAAAAACTTGATATGTAATATGGAATATTAAATAGACGGTTTCATTATTCACCAGGTCATGAGTTTGAATTCTATGATAAATAATAATTTATATGAATTTAACTTTAGAAAGAAAAAAAAGTTTGTTAGCTAACAAAATTCTGGTTGAACAAAACTTATCCCTGACAAACTACATCATATATATGAAGCCTACTCAACAGTATCCAAGACACTTTCCTATCCACTATGCACCTAATTCTATGTTGTCCTACCATAAAATATGGTTAATATTTAGTATTCAAATCATATATTATAAAAACTAGCTACATTCATGTCATCTAAAATCTATGATTCCTAATATCCTGTTTTTTGGTACCCACGTCTAATCAATTAGGTTGCATTTTGGTAACCGACATAGAAATATTAAACAACAACAAAAAAAAGATAGGTTAAAATAACTGATCGATTAAAATAATTACGTTCACTAGTTAAATATATCAAGAATTAAGAATATACATGATTTTGCATATCATACATATATATTATATATTTTCCCAATTAAATAATGCATTTGAAAATCACATGTAATTTTCCCAGATAACTCTATTACACTAGCCTTAATTGTAGTGCATGCCTCTCTTTTTCATAGTGGCAAGCAACTACTATAGTACTAGCTATAAAGAAGAATAAGGTATAGTCTTTTCTATATATAAAAGTCACAATAATAGGAATATCAATACGTGGCATAAAGTCCTCCATGTCGAAAGGGGAAAAATAATTTTAACTTTCTCCGTCGAAAAATAAGTGTCAATTAAGAAATTCAAGACAAAAAATAGTATTTTAAAAAAAAATTATATTCTTATACTCCGTCTTCATAAACAATGTTCAATTTCTTATTAAACATGATCTTTATTAAAATGACACTTACTTTGAGACGAAAAAAAGTATCTTACTAGGTAAGTCAATAGGAAGTTTCCCATAACATTCCTCCTTCTGGAAGTGTTGAATTACTTTGCAAATTTCTTCTATTCATATATTCAAACAAGAAAGAGTCGATACATACGTAAATGTATAAAAATAGTTGTGGTATGGGAAAAAATAGAAGTGACAACATATATGCTCTATAATATTGTTGTGTAATTATAGCATTACGTGTAAGGAATATTCATGGTCAACAACAATTAATTAAATTCTTTCCTCCCTAAACAAGAAATCAAGAAATAGAAAAGATAGAAAATTAAATACAATTTTTATCCTATAAAGGTAGAGACTTATCATCATTTACAATTTAAATTTTGCTAATCTACTATTCTCTCCATCTCAATCGATGTTATTTTAAGTAAATTTATTATGAAAAAAAAGTGATACTTCTAAACTTTTCACTTAATTCTACAATTACAAAAATATTAGGACTTAGCATACGTTAAGATCATTAATTTAAAAGTTTTTATTTGTTTTCTAAACTTTACGTCTATTCAAATTACATTGCAACAATTAAAACGGAGTGAATACATGTTATTGTAGTAAGTTAAAGTTGCTTTACATTTTTCTATTGTCAAATTTGCCCTTGAAGTTACGATTGCCTTTTTATTACGTTGGTGGTCATATTTGCACCATTGAAGTCAAATAATTATGTAAATTTAAGATACTTCTTTATATGACATGTGAATGTGTGGTATCAATTGTTAGAAAAAAAACACAAAAAGAAAAAAAAAAACGAGTACGAAGGAAGGAGAGGGGAAAAAGAGGTAGGAAGTTTTTCTAGAGAAACATTTGACTAACTTAGAAAGATACGTAACAAAAGAAATCGAGAGGATGTAAAACAAAAATGTCTATAATTTTAATGTGCTTGAAGCATTAGTTTTATTTCATGTTACATATTTTTCTTTTCAACAGTTAATTTAAACAATGTCACATAAATTGAAAGTATATCGAGAGTACATGATATATATTATGAATGGCCTAAATTGATCCACTTGTGGCAACTTCAGTAATGGTGAGTTCCGTGCATTTGTATGGCCGGTTATTAAATGCTGCTAATTCTCATGTCCACGCCTATTTCCCATTGACTTAGCTTTAATAAGCCCTACAAATAAATTCCTAACATTAATTTAATATTTGTATTAAAGCTCAATTGTATTTAAATTTGCGTTGTATAAGACCTTATTTGAAGGAAAGTGTGACTATATCTTAAGTTGTTTTTCCACGCTTTATTTATTTATTCAAAGTATAACTTACAGAAATTCTATACATTTGGGAGCTAATTACGTTCTATCTCGAAAGTTTTTTCAATTACAAAAAATTTAAAATTTTCATTGCTCTCGGATACATGACTTGGTTGTACGATACTTTGCAAATGATACATTACTTAATGAGAAGGGTGTATCCTAGAGGAGATAGGGATGTATCCGAGAGGAAATAAGAATGTATTCGAGGAGGATAGAGATGTATAAGAGAGGATGGAGATGTATCCGAGAGGGAATTTTTATAATTTTTTTAAATGGTATGAAATTTTAAAGATTATAATATCTTAGATTGTGTATTTGTATAACTTCTTCTAATTCGATGCCCTACTACTCCTAGTAGTACTATAATTTACACTATTTCACCAGAAATTAAAATGCAAGATTTCTAGAAACTCATTTTCTAAAATCCTTTTACATTATTGAAAACAAATAGTAAGAGACAAAAATGTACTATTTCAAAAAACTGACCAAAGCTACTACATTTTGATGTTGAAATGTATGGGCCCTAGCACACATGGGTTGAGTGTATTTTTTTCTAATTAATCAACAAGATGAGAGTCAAGTCCTTGTAAACTTTATATTGGAAATGACAATTAAACAACTTGTAATACCACTCTTACCCTAAACTTGTTAATCACGTTTAGATTTTTTTGGCAAATTTAGAAAAGGATAACACATAAACAAAAAGTCAATGATAAAATTAGTGTGGACCCTTATATGGAATAAGAAATTGACTCGTGTGTGAAAAAAGAAAGATGCACATAAATTCCTTTAGTACCATCAAAGGTTGTTGAGAGAGTCGGATTTTAAAAAAAATCGCTTACACTTTGTTTGAATGGTTGCTACGTAGTGTTTCATAATGTATTGTATTATATTATACTGTATTATTTTAATGAATATAATATTCGGATAGACTGTATTGTTCTTCGTTGTTACATGATGACTTACGTCAGAAATTTGAATGAAAAAAATATTAAGGTAACAACGCAACCACACCAAATCGATTGTTACATAAAATGAGACATTTTGTCGTTATATAACGAAGGATTTAAATGATAATACAAACAATTAAAACAAACATTGCATTTAAACTAACAATACAATACAACATATAACAACCATCCAAACAAGATGTAACTGAAGAATTTCTTCATATAAATATAGGATTTGAGTCAAAGCTATTGCATACTATCGAATGTAATTTACTTGGTGGCCGGCTCCTCACTTGCTCGAATTTAAGGTGTAAAAATGAATTCGATAAAAAATTATATTGTTTACGTATATATGATTAAAATTATTCTTTATGTATATATAGTAGATATCAAATTCTCTCCAAATTTTTAATCATATAGTAAAATTTTCTAGCGTGAATCTAAATCAGTTACATCAAAAGAGAAGAAGAATTGGTAATGAAAATGAGTCGATGTCCTTTAAATCAATTCTTAATAAATAATCAATTTAAATGAAGAGTTCGATTAATTTGGTGTAGTGGGAGGCCTTAACTGTAGGTCCCAAACCTTAACTTCTCCAACGACCCTATTTAATATTTACTCAATAACGTACCACTACAAGAATTATACGAACATTTAATTTAATTAATCAATTTTTAATACTAATATGCTCTCTCCAAATAAACTTTGTCAACTACAATTAGAAAATAATAATGTACTAAAACTTAATCCTCTCTCCGTTTCTTTTTATATGTCATTCTTACTATAAATTGTTGGTTCATAATGGAGTACTTGTCATTTCATAAAATCAATGTAT